CTCGATGGATAGATACCCCTGACAACTACCTACTCAAGAAACGTTCTAGATGCTGGCGAACCTACCAAGCAGCTCCACCGGCCAGCACCTATGGTAGTTATTGACAGATTAGAAATAAATGTAACCAACGTCTCAGGACTGTTCCTCTCCAGTACGTGCAGAGGTTAGCGGACTCGGCCACAGCTAATCCCAAGCAGTTCTTTTACGTTAAAAGACGTTTTACGTTAAAAGACGCAGCAGGGCAAAACTGTCTATACCAGCTTTATTGCGAGCAGACGGGACCCGTGCGCAAAGACTATGACAAGGCTTATATACTTGTGATCAGTATACTGGGGTCTTGGCTTAGGAGATCTCTTTACCACATGTTGAGTTGCTTTCAAGTGTTCCAGCGGGTTCTTGCTTAGCTGAGTTTAACATAACGGAGACTCAGGTCTTCGAGCTACTGCAAGGCATTAATCCTTCTATAGCTTCCGGTCCTGATTCAATTCATCCGAAGCTGTTGCATGAATTGGCCACTGAGCTGAGTGGTCCTCTCACATGCGTGTTTTCAGTATCGCTTGTCGGCTGCGTCCTGCCTTCGGCATGGAAGGAGACAATTATCTGTCCGATTTTTAATGGCGGTGACAGCACTGCCCGCTAACCACCGGCCTGTCCTTTTGACAAGTGTAGTAGTCAAGTTGTTTGAAAAGCTGATAAGGGATTCAGTGGAGAACCACCTGAATTGATTCAACCTTCTCAGTGATGCGCAACATGGATTCCGCAAGGGATTTTCTTGTCAGACTATCTACTTGTAATTCGTGAAAGCTGGACCGAATCGATAAACAGTGGCCACCTTGTCGACTTGCCATTCGTGTACTTTACGAAAGCTTTTGACGCTTCATCTCCGGCTCTCACTAAGGTTGAGATCTTTCGGTATATTTGCTCGTGCTTTTTAATGGGTGTCTGCTTTCCTTGAGGGTAGAGAACAGTACGTACGGGTGGGGCGTAGCCTTTCGCTCAGGCAAGCTGTCCTTAGTGGCGTCCCTCAGGTATTCTGGGTATTGTTGTTCGCGATCTATCTAAATGACTTTTCGGGAGAGCTATGGGTGTCATCACTAATGTTTGCTGACGACCTTAAGCTCTGGAATATTGTGGATATCCCGGGGGGTCCTGAGACAATTCAGCGTGCCTTGGATAGGCTCTTGGAATGGTCTGTCGGCCGGTGGCCGAGTGGTCGGCACGTTTGCTTTCCAACCATAAGGTCACCGGTTCGACTCCGCGTAGGGGTGGGCATCCTCGCGGTATACTCAGCCCGCGCGCGACTAGTGGTGGTCGCGCGGCAGCGAAGCGTCGTTACGGCGTATAAGCTGACACATTTCATTTTCATTTCTGGGAATGGTCTACCTTATGATTGATGCCCGTACCTAGGGCCGTGATCTGTTCTCCGAATCGGTGCTGCTAGTCATCCTGCCCGATATGTTGTCGGCGGTGGTGAACTCCCTGCTGTTGTTCAGCAGGTTGATTTAGGAGTCGTACACTTATCAGCACTTCATTCTGGAGACAATTGGAAGGTTGCTTGTCGGGATTTTCTTATGATGTGGTTTATCCGCCACTCTTTCGGAGTCCTTACGGCCAATTTGTTTGTGAAGCTATTATCGGCATTCGTCTGACTCCACCTGGAATATTGTATCCAGGCTTGTCCACCGTGTTTTATCCGAGACAAAATGGGCTTGGAGAGGGTGTTACGCGTGGGCACTCGGTTAGTGCAGGATCTACGGGGACAGACATATCCTGAACGCTTTCTTATTTTGCAGGGTGTACTCCATGCACTGCCGACGGATAAGAGGAGACCCGATTTTCATCGTATGTTGACGGCTAAAATCGGCCCGGACTTGTCAGGGCTATTTAGTCCCGCTACGCGACCTAATCTCCGCGGTCACCCATTGAAACTGCAAAAACCACGGTCTGATAGGATTAGGACGGAAACTCGTCTATCGCGCCGAGTTATAGATCGCTGGAATTCGCTTCCAGATCATGTGGTTATGGAACTTACGGTTAAGGGTTTTTGCGCGCCAGCTTAATGCTCTTGGTTGACAACACCAAACCTTTCCTTTTTCCTAGCCGACTCACCTTCACTTTTCAGTTCTTTTTTAACGACACAAATATCTTGGTATTCCACTTGCTTAGCTCTTTCCACTTGCTCATTTTGACTTCTGAGGTTACTTTATTCTCTTTCTTACTTCACGTAACCGGCCCAGCAGGGACTGCTAGGGTGGGATACGTGGGCATTAATTGGCTGGACAGGGTGTGATGCGGTCTTTTTCTTAGGTCCATCTGTATATCAAAGTCTTGCAACTCCTGGTTCAACGACCCGCTGAAGTTGGAACACTCAGGGGATAATCCTATCGTTTCAGTCCCGCTTGAGCTTGAACTTGTCTTGTGAAACGACGTGTGTAAATCATTACTGCCTGGCCAAGAACTCAGATCCAAATCGCGAAGATGTTTTGAAATCCTGTTCCTGGTTCTTTCGACTTTCCAAAAATCGGGTTGTTTTTTCATTAAGGTTCGAGTTATCGCGTCAAGGTCTCATGCGAATCGCATGTCTTTCGGCTGACGTGGGCAACTCTTTATCTCACGCACTGGCGGGAACAGTTTAAAGTTAGGCTTCGCGGCATTAGCTGGACGTTCAGTGATTAATATATAGCCGGAATATGTATTGATGAAATAAACAAATAACCTTAAAGTCACGATATTGGAAACATCTGTCTGAGGTGCTTGCTACCGTGTCGTGTGCCCCATGAGTACAGAATGCCCCTAACGAGGACTCTGATGCCGTACTGGACGTCGTCCAAGACATGACCAAGCTTCTATCCCCTCTGCCCAATAAACGCAAGAGGAAGAGAGCTAAGAAAGTTTTTAACGCCCCCTCAAATCCTGAAGGTACAGAACCCATAAAGATATTGGAGATAGAGCACAAAACTCCAATCACCCCAGTTCCATTGGCCAAAAAACGCACCGTGTCGACTTCGGCCACATCCACAAAGTTTGCAATGACTAGACCAGTGAGAGAGTTGAAGGTAGAACACAAAGCCTCAAACTCAATCACTTCAGCTCCCTTGGCAAAGAAACGCGCCGTGTCACCTGCTAAACCGGTCGAAATTGGAGTCGAGTCGAAGACTCGCGGAGTGAATACGCCTCGTCGAGGTGATTCTTTTACTGATAGCAGCATTATCTTCCGTAACCTTGTTGCATCCGCGGCGGAACGCATGCTGGATGACCTCCAGTGGTTCAAACTCTGCGTCAACAAGATGCTTCCACCTGGTTTATCCGTTGTCACTATCAGGAAGTTAAGGAGACCGGGGAACGTGCCTGTCGATGCGCTAAATCCGCGACCCGGATTACTTCGTTTACTCCTTTCAACCCCGGAGGAACGCAAAGCGATAATGCACTTTGCGTCCAAACTCAAGGTTAGCAATGTCAGCGTTCAGCCGGGCCTCCCACTGGCAGTTATAGGAAGTCATCATAAGCCTCAGGAACAAGCTTGCGGCTGGTGAGCAAGGTCTTCGTCTTGTGGGTTTTCAGGCGGTCAGCCGGAAGTCAAATTCTGCCCTACCAGAACCCCTCCTGGTAGCGTACGACCCAGGGCTGGTCGTGCCGAGTTCCTTCGGGTAGTGCTTAGCAATGTGCGTAGCCTAAGGAACAAGGTACACGAGTTGGGTTTAGTTGTAGACAAACCACGTCCCGACATACTTGCTATCACCGAAACGTGGTTGTCCCCCGATATCACAGACGGTGAAGTATCTTTACCTGGCTACGCACTGCTTAGATGGGATCGCTCCGTTGGCCGCCAAGGTAGGGGCGTCGCTCTTTATGTGAGTTGTAAACTTGATGTGTTGAGGACCTGTGTTTTCCAGTCGTCGGATCAAACTGTTGAAGCCCTGTCGACTATTGTGTGCACTTGCTCTGCTCAGTCTACAGTTGTAGTGGTATATCGAAGTCTTGGAAGTATCTCCAGGGAGGTGATTGAATTTCTTCCTACTCAGGCTGCCAATAGATGTCTAATACTGGGTGACTTCAACCTCCCTGTAGTCTGCTGGGCTGGTCTCTCTTGCAGTTCGGCGGTGGGCACTTTCGGTTCGGATCTGCTCGAACTAATGTTGCAGCTTCCATTGCATCAGTTCGTAGACCTCCCGACTAGATATATGAGCAACAAGCTTCTGTCTACCTTGGATCTCATTTTTTCCGAAGTCACACGGTTTCATAAGCGATATTACATACGGCTGCCCTCTATGATATATATATATATATATATATATATATATATATATATATATATATATATATATATATATATATATGAGGCTGATGTTGCATTCATGATGCTTCTTCACCGCAGTTGGGCTAAACCAACTTACACTAAATCTTTTTAATGTGTATAAAATTCATTACATTTTATTAATTTTTTTGTTCTGCGTATTTGATAATCTTCTCCCAACTTACACACGTCGCTCATGCAAATTGTGGTAAACTTGCGTAATTTTATCCCGTGGTATTTTTTTAAATAACTTTCGGACATTTTGTACTTATCGCCTATTCACATTTAACCAATTTCTTCCATATGCTCATTTAACGAGTATTTATGTCGTCAAATACGTTTACTTTATTCGATATCGGCATTTCGAATGATTGGCTGTTGTTTGACATCCCAGGTGTGGCTGCGCTTGATGTGAATGTTGACAAGGTGTCTACCTGTCTATTACCCACTACCTCGTTTATCTGGCTCCAGGAGACAGTTGGTCGTTGCTGGAGGGGACGGGGTGCACGGTCCTTGTGGCCGTGCTAGGCTCGAAGAGTGGTTCCATGCACTCAGTGGGGAGCGGACTACGGTCCAGCCACCGCCTTGTGTGCGGTTGATTCCCCAAATACAGTGTGCTTGTGTTTGTCTGTGAAGGAGTGTGGGCCGACTCCGTTGATGAAACGTGGCTCCCATCCGCATGCCTCCCGGTCATATTCCTTCGGGTTTACACTGGATATGGGTGTTTGGATGGAGCTGTGGGTGGTGCAGCGCAAGCCATCCATGGTCCCTCTGTAGGCGCAGGCGTCCTGTGTCTGGCCACAGTGACAGGCAAATCCGAAACCGGATGCCGCCAACCATCATCATCATCATCATCATCATCATCATCATCATCATCATCATCATCATCATCATCATCATCATCATCATCATCATCATCATCATCATCATCATCATCATCATCATCATCATCATCATCATCATCATCATCATCATCATCATCATCATCATCATCATCATCATCATCATCATCATCATCATCATCATCATCATCATCATCATCATCATCATCATCATCATCATCATCATCATCATCATCATCATCATCATCATCATCATCATCATCATCATCATCATCATCATCATCATCATCATCATCATCATCATCATCATCATCATCATCATCATCATCATCATCATCATCATCATCATCATCATCATCATCATCATCATCATCATCATCATCATCATCATCATCATCATCATCATCATCATCATCATCATCATCATCATCATCATCATCATCATCATCATCATCATCATCATCATCATCATCATCATCATCATCATCATCATCATCATCATCATCATCATCATCATCATCATCATCATCATCATCATCATCATCATCATCATCATCATCATCATCATCATCATCATCATCATCATCATCATCATCATCATCATCATCATCATCATCATCATCATCATCATCATCATCATCATCATCATCATCATCATCATCATCATCATCATCATCATCATCATCATCATCATCATCATCATCATCATCATCATCATCATCATCATCATCATCATCATCATCATCATCATCATCATCATCATCATCATCATCATCATCATCATCATCATCATCATCATCATCATCATCATCATCATCATCATCATCATCATCATCATCATCATCATCATCATCATCATCATCATCATCATCATCATCATCATCATCATCATCATCATCATCATCATCATCATCATCATCATCATCATCATCATCATCATCATCATCATCATCATCATCATCATCATCATCATCATCATCATCATCATCATCATCATCATCATCATCATCATCATCATCATCATCATCATCATCATCATCATCATCATCATCATCATCATCATCATCATCATCATCATCATCATCATCATCATCATCATCATCATCATCATCATCATCATCATCATCATCATCATCATCATCATCATCATCATCATCATCATCATCATCATCATCATCATCATCATCATCATCATCATCATCATCATCATCATCATCATCATCATCATCATCATCATCATCATCATCATCATCATCATCATCATCATCATCATCATCATCATCATCCTCATCCTCATCCTCATCCTCATCCTCATCCTCATCCTCATCCTCATCCTCATCCTCATCCTCATCCTCATCCTCATCCTCATCCTCATCCTCATCCTCATCCTCATCCTCATCCTCATCCTCATCCTCATCCTCATCCTCATCCTCATCCTCATCCTCATCCTCATCCTCATCCTCATCCTCATCCTCATCCTCATCCTCATCCTCATCCTCATCCTCATCCTCATCCTCATCCTCATCCTCATCCTCATCCTCATCCTCATCCTCATCCTCATCCTCATCCTCATCCTCATCCTCATCCTCATCCTCATCCTCATCCTCATCCTCATCCTCATCCTCATCCTCATCCTCATCCTCATCCTCATCCTCATCCTCATCCTCATCCTCATCCTCATCCTCATCATCATCCTCATCATCATCATACACGTTAGCTACAGGTGGGGAACACTTCAGCTACTGTGCCGCAATACATAGAAAAAAAGGAGAAGAAAGCAACTTGTGCAAGCTGGCTGAGCTACCGGTAACGGATGGACATCGTTCCGGTAAGCTACCAGCCGGCTGCTGTGCAGCCAAAAAAATTATTATGCAAAATTATATAAGGCTAATTAATGAGATCGTGGTTGGAAAGGGAGGCTACGAGGGATGGGGTGGGCAAAGACACTCACTGCACGAACGCCACTGAGGTCGGCTCCTAGCCATATCAGCAAGTGTGTCCAACCAAACGTGTTCATCGTCTTTCGGACCCCAACCAGGCAGCCGAGACGCTCCAACCGAGGTCAGCTCAGAAGTGAGGGCCTTCATTCCTCTGGACCAAGTCATCGCTTGACCACCCCTCCTCTTCTTCCATCCACACCCTCGGCGCACAAACAACACACGTCGCGAAAGTCGGTGGGCTGGCATGCATAACACGTGGCCGAGCCATCGGAGCCTGATGCGTGAAATAACGGTGCTGAGCGGTTCAGTTCCTTTTCCTGTGCCATAAACAAGGCGTCGAACACGCTCGTTACTAACGCGGTGTTCCCACCAAATGTGAGCTAAATTGCGAAGGCACCGGTGGTCGAACATAACTAGCCTCTTCAGGTCCGCTGCTTTAAGCGGCCAGGTTTCACAACCGTACAGTAGGGTCGAACGTACTGCTGCACTGTACACTCTACCCTTCAGGGTGAGAGTGATGTCGCACCGCCGCCATAAGTGGCGAAGGTTAGCAAAAGCACTTCGAGCTTTTGCCATGCGATTCGTGATTTCATCTTCAATCCCACGGGCGTTGATAGAACTTCCCAGGTAGTTGAATTTTCGAACGACTTCTAGCTGATCCCCACTAAGGGTCAGCGTAGGAGGCGGTCCAGACCAATCTTGGAGAAACGCTTTGCACTTCGAGGGTGCGAAGCAAAGCCCGAAGTGACGGACAGCTAGTGCTAATCTGTCCAGTGCCGCTTCGCACGTTTGTGAGCTGTCACAGATGAGGGCAATATCATCAGCATACTCTAATCAAGAATTCATTCTCCTGGGAGTATCCGCACCTTCTAAGTCGTGTCCTGTGAATGCGATTTCCATGACTTCGTCAACAGCGAAGTTGAAGAGGAAAGGTATTCCTCTGGACCAAGTCATCGCTTGGCCACCCCTCCTCTTCTTCCATCCACACCCCCGGCGCGCAAACAACACACGTCGCGGAAGTCGGTGGGCTGGCATGCGTAACATGTGGCCGAGCCATCGCAGCCTGGTGCGTGAACTAACGGTGCTGAGCGGTTCAGTTCCTTTTCCTGTGCCATAAATAAGGCGTCGAACACGCTCGTTGCTCACGCGGTGTTCCCACCAGATGTGAGTTAAATTGCGAAGGCACCGGTGGTCGAACGTAACTAGCCTCTTCAGGCCCGTTGCTTTAAGGGGCCAGGTTTCACAACCGTACAGTGGGGTCGAATGTACCGCTGCATTGCACACTCTAACCTTCAGGGCAAGAGTGATGTCGCACCGCCGCCATAAGTGGCGAAGGTTAGCAAAAGCGCTCCGAGCTTTTGTTATACGGTTCGTGATCTCATCCTCAATCCCACGGGCGCTGATACAACTTCCCAGGTATTTGAATTTTTGAACGACTTCTAGCTGATCCCCACCAACGGTCAGCGTAGGAGGCGGTCCAGACCAATCTTGGAGGAACGCTTTGCCCTTCCAGGGTGCGAAGCAAAGCCCGAAGTGACGGACAGCCAGTGCTAATCTGTCCAGTGCCGCTTGGCACGTCTGGGAGCTGTCACAGATTAGGGCAATATCAC